TAGCGATACAATAAATTAGCCTTGTTGTGTTGAAACAGATTATTTGGAATTAATTTAAAAGATTTAATTTAATTTGATCTCGGTTGTCAATGCAAGAAAATACGCGATTAAGATGAACAGATTTTTAATCGATACATTTTTTAAACATATGTTCGTACGTTCTCTTTTTGCTTCAAGTCAGACATCAATCTTGTACGAATGCTTTCAAGAACGATTAGGTCATCACCATCACCCTCGCGGGGCAGCACTTTTATTTGCACAAAACGAGTCATTGTATATCCCGGATGCGATCATTATCATTAAGAATAACTAAACCTTATGTCTCTCTTCCACTTATTTCTCCTTTCACCTTCCTTTTCTGAAGAGATAAGACGACTACGCACGCCGTGGCCCACGCGACACCCATTACGACTAATCAATTCTTCAAATTGTCGCCATAAACGATACGGATTATTCTTCAATCTCGTCTTGGAATGCATCGCTCGCACATATACGCAATGAGATTATTATTCTCGAGTCAAGCTCTTCCACCGGACAGAAAGAAACAACGCGTAAGAGCGAGATATTCGCCTCACAAGAAATATATTGAGAGAAATTTATTTTGTAAAAGTATAAATTTATAATTTCTGAGAAGAAAAATGTTTATTAGATCTGATGAATTAATTTAAATCGTATTTTAAATTAATTGAAAAACTGATTCTTTTAACTCACTGTTATATTTTTTGAGAGGGGATGTTTTTAGATCTATGTATAGAGTTTTATGCATTCTACACTTCGAATGAAACAATGATGATATTCATATTTTAAGGAGATAAAAAACGAAAAATAGCTGAAATAAGCTTACATTATAAGTTGATGAAAATAATGTCCCACAAATATTCACTTCGAACTGAAGCAAACGATTTTGAAATTCACACATGCATGCACACAGGGGTGTATATATCATTATATTTCTTATATATATATATATATATATTTCGATACCATTCGTTTCTACAGATATGTTAAGATATATAAAGCGCATAAAATCGTTCATATGTAAAAAGTATAATTTAAAAGATAAAAAGCATATATTCCTACTTTTAAAGATTAGAATATATATATTTTATACCGTATATTTTAGATCGGAGATGAAACGATGAAATAATCATAATCTAAGGTTGCCGCACTACGGCAGATTTATTATATTAATCAATCTCATTGTGTGTCATAAATATTTCTACAACTTTTAATCTTATATTGCTATTTCGAAAATGTATGTTGCCTATATATTTAATAAGAAATTTCTCCAAATAGCGCGATATTTTATCTTCATATCTATATCGCATCTTCTGGTAGTTTCTGTTCACCTCCTGTGCCAGTAGATATAATTCGTAGAAGAAATCCTCATCGTTTTCTTAGTCATTCGTGAACGTATCGCGTTCATCTTTCAATTTGAAATTCATCGCCAATCTCTCTCGCATAAATTATAAATTATATTATAATTCTCTTACACAATAATTAATTTTTTATAACCAGTATCTTATAATTATTTATAAAATATATTTAGTCGGGAGTAAAAGAAGCCGAGAGTTCAATTTTCTTAAATATATCATTATTACTCAGAGAGAAAGAGAGATTTCCAATTTCCTTGTATGTAAGAATATACAGAGCAAGAGATATTCACATACCTCATTTGATAAAATATCCCATCATGTTGCCAAGGTCCCTTGCGAAACCGTATCTCTGTCCGTCGTAATCGTTGAATTTAAGCCTTATGTAGATCATATCCTTGGAAGTGAAGCAAACATACTTCATGAACAATCTCTGGCGACGGAGGGACGGGATATCTGGATCTATATCGTCCATTCTATTTGCATTTCTCCGGGAAAACAATCCGTCTGCCGCTTCCAGTCACGAAAACTTTGCCTCGAGATGTTCGTGATTCGCGTTTGCATACGATATTGTCCCTTGTTGTTGATTCAAACCTAGAAGAATACGTAGATACAACATTTTGCAGTGACGACGGATCTTTTCTAGATTAATTAATTTTGTTCATCAAGATACACGTACGTAAACTTATATATTTAGAAGACATTTGTAAAGCTAATTTTCATGGCAAAAACAGAATTTTTATAGAATTAATGTTAATGGAAAAATGGGGAGACTACTACCGACGAAATTTTGTTGCACATGATATTTTTTGAACAATTCCTTGATATTTCCATTTTTGAATATACAATTGTCATATTGCCTTAACGAAAAAATCAAAGTGGTTTCAAAATGAAACGAATGCTTCACTACTGAAAGCGTTTTTACAGAAGTATAAAAACCATCAATATAAAGGAATTAACGTGAAATTTTGCATACAAATAGATATTCGTAAAACTAAGCACGGTACGAATGCGGCAACGTAACTCAACTTTCTCAAAGTTCCACGTTTGCAACGATAAAGTGGAATTGTCCGACGACATTACTGCGAACTCCATCGCGGGTGAAAGAAATAAACTGCGGTATAAATACGGGGACTCATGGACCGCCTGCTAATAAAGTAGGATTAGAACGTGAACGTTGTTGTTTCCCTCTACGCTTGTAACTTTATAAAATCTCTTGCCACGGTAACTCAATATGTCCAAGAATTATATCCTTTGCACAAGACTGAAAAGCATTGGAAGAACATCATGATATTAATATTTGTATATATACCGCTTTTATTTGCATCTTTTCTATATTATCGGATACCTTCGTGAAACTCGCTCTTTCGATATAATCTCTGAAGAAATATAAGAAGAGTTCCGTCAATTCTACGGGGACCGGATATTTATGCTAATACATATTAGGAAAAAAAATCATTCTTCCTCGTGTGTACGCGAAATATCTGCAATATCTGTACAACATCTATACGTAACGGTATGTTTTATAATGCAACATAAATTATTCGCGGGAAGGATCTGTTTTTTAGAGTTGAGTAAACTACTTCTAGTGAAATCAATGTTATGAAAAAAAAACCGCTTTTTATATGTATTTCGGAACGAATTAAAATGTCTATGTATGTCCTGGATGCCCTTTGGACGTCCTAAGGACATCCTTGTGCTGTCTGGGTAATGTACAATTAATATTATTCTTTCTAATCGTACTTTAGAATCTTAATCATATTTATACAATTAAAATATCAGCTTTGTATTATATAGAGAAGTATAATCTACAAACATTTCCAGAGAAATAAATTAAAAGACGATGACAAAAAGGAGCGAATGCATGTAGTGGCAAAACGACTGGTTCCATCACACAACCTCACTATACAATAGTCACAAATAGACTAAAATTGAATGGCACAATACTACGTAGCTGCGTACGAAACGCGTGAGAAATCCCCCACCATTTCCCCACCATCTGAGAGCGCTGACGCTGATTGCGCGGTGCATGCCTAGGCGTCCTTCGTTGACATTCGTAAACGCTCGGTATCCGAAGCCACCGGGGAGAGAGACGATGGGATAAGGAGGAGGATCTTACGTTTCACTTGGCACTGGCAGTGGCAGTGTTTTGCATATTACTCCACAGTCTCCATCTCCAGTCTACTCCAGTTTAGTTGCGATTGTTGAATAGTAAGGTTGTTAGATAGAAATAGCACTAAATTGTACTTCGTCATTAGTTTGTTACTGTTTTTTATGCTTCATTCAGAAATAACTGCTTGTTTTCTCTCTTTCTCTCATTGTTAATAACACACATTGAATTATTATATATATTATAATTCTCAGTTTTCGCAATTTTTATACAAATACATTTATTATATATTTATTTATTTATTTACATTAATCTCCTTCTTATATTCCTATATAT